GGTTTTATTTGTTCTTTGTCTTCTACTTGGTCAGTCTTAATCTTTTCCTCATGATTCTCAACACAAACCTGATCAAAATTTGACTCCAGAACTATGTGATTTTTTAAAACAGCTGAATCTGGCTCAGTGTTTCCATCTTTTTCAATTTTGTCTTCTAAATTATACCTTAAGAGTTTGGTTTCTTTGCAGGTCTTTCCGATCGGATGTTGACATTGTTCTACATTGAAGTCCCCCGTTTTAGAAACATATTCCTCTTTTTTGTCTTTACTTAAAGGAAGACCAAAAGTAATTTGATCGCAGCTTTGGTGGATATCAGAATTTTCTACTTTCTCTGACCTGAAATGAGAGGTTGTTGAGTCACCACTGTTGTCTGAGTCTGCCAAGCCTGCATGCTCTGGACTTTCAGGACTGCTGGAGTTGATGTCTCCACTATAAAAAGGGCTGTACTGAGACTCTAGATGTATGTCAATATCGCTTGATAACTGTTGGTCAGTTTCATGATCAAACAGTGGATAACTGACATTTGATAATGTTTGAGTCTGCCTAAACTGCTGATAATGAATATTTTCTTCCAGCTCAGCCTTTATGACAGGACTGAAGTCCTCAGAAGGTCTGCGATCTGGGCTGATTTGTGTTTCCTCAGATAAAGCCCTAGCAGTGCTCAAGAGTGATCCATCTAAATGCATTTTCCCTGGGCTCATCTCTGACAACGCTGATGTCACTTTCCCCATGCCTATCCTTTCATCACCGATAGGAATTCTCTCAACCTTTTCATCAGCCTTTCTAGAGTAAATATCCTCAGAAATGAGTTGGGATTCAGTTTGAATCTCCTTTTGCATTCCAAAAAGAGAACCATCTGAAACTTGCTCAGATGCATGTTCATTTAAATCTGCTGGTTGATTCTCTGTGTTGCTGTATAAGATGGGATCACCATGTGAACTCAGATCTGTGAGGCTCTGAGCTTGTTCCCTGACTCCAGATTCAGACACAAATGCTCTACCAGAAGAAGCTAAGACCTTTTGAGGTGAAGGTTGTGAAGCAGTTTCTGAAAGATCATGTCCATTTTGGAAAATTTTCATACGGTCCCTCACAGACAATGTCCCTTTGTCTTGCAGCTCACTTTCTATGCACTCAGACGTCAGGTCATCACTCCTAATGTCAAACTGAATTGTGTCAGCAAACTTTACTGTCTTACCAATGGAAGGTTTTTCTGATATAAACTTTGTTTTCTCAGTAATAATTTCGATTGAGCTAACCTGTTCATCCCTTATGCCCCTCTTGACCATTTTACCCACATCTGTTTGTTGATTGAAACTTATGTGGCTTCCATATGCTGAATCTTGCTCTACCACCTGTTTTTCTTCAGTATCTGTAAGCTTGTTTACAACAGTTTCACTATTATAAGAAACGGGTGCCTTATGTTCAAAAAGCCCAGATTTAGATTTTGATGGGTTCTGTCCAGCCTTAAAAGCTTCCATTATGTCAGTCACAGACATTGTCTCCTCTAATCGCTCTGTCTGAGATCTTGGAGATTTAGGGGATTTGGGAACCTTGGGAAGTTCTGGCATGACTCCCTCTTTCTTCTTTTGAATGACTGAATACTTTTCATCATGTGCTACACTTTGAATAGTTTTTTGTGAGTCCCCTTGTTCAACTTTGACCTGTAAAGCTTTAATTTTGTCTTTTACTGACCCAATAGGTGTCTCAACAACTAAAGGAGAAACAGGGGGCTCCATAACAGAGCTAGATGGTAATCCACTTGTTTTAAGGATCGCTTCACCATCCAAAGATTCTTCAGAACTCACCCTTTCCAACTCTCCCTCTGAACTGCTACACCTGGATAGCTCTCTTTCTCTAATTTTTCTCCTTACAGGTTTTTGTATATTTGGCGGATGTTGTCTGCTGTGTGGTGCTGTTTTCGCGATGGTAGCTTTCTCAGATATGTCCTGGCCAAGATCTTCTTCAGAACTGTATCTCACATCAGGTCTCTGCCCAAAAATGTCTCCCTTGTTTGTGTTGACTTTCGAGACCATGCCTAGCATTCCTTTCCCTAACTGACTACTATAAGTAAGGTCTTCTTTTTGTATCCCTCCTGTCTTTTCAGACCTATCTTTCAAGGGTTCCACTTTGGCAAAGTGAGGTGCCACTGACACTACATCTCTAGCTGTCTCCTCATCGACATCTGCTGGAAATACTGATATGTCTGACAGAATGTCCGGACTTGCAAGAGTTGCAGGATCCATAGGTTGGTTTGTCTCAGTGAACTCAGACTGATCATCTTCAATGAAAAAAAGTTTTCAGAACCAAAAAGGGTAGATAACATATGGGACAAATCAAGTGGGAAAGAGAGACATCAGAAAACTTTCATCAAGACAATGCCATCAAATATCCATCTTCAGTTCACAGTGAAAGGAATCTGAAAGGGTAGAAGATAAGGAAATCTTGGGGGGAAAAAAAGGCCAAAAAGGGGACAGCGTAGTCCAGAAAGATTTGAAAGGACATAGAGCAGCAACAGCATAAGCAAAAGCCAAGATTGGTGAAATAAGGTAGAATGTGGACAAGAATCTAATGCTATTTACAATACATTTGGGTTTCTACCACAAACTATACCAAAAGCACTGAAAGTAACAAAAAAAAAAAAAAAAATCAGTGAAATGAATTGATAAGAAAAAATAACAAACATTGTCAAGATTATTGCTGACATGGTCATATCTAACTATAATTTTCAACCTTAAGTAAATCAGGAAAATTACAATGTTTTTGTAATAAATCAAGCATTTTTGTTACTCATAATTAACTGTGCTCTTTAGGTATCCTAATGTCAGCTTCAAGATTAAAATAGTATAGTAGTTTTTAAGATCTAAATTAGAATTATGGAACTACATTTTTACAATTTGAATAATACAAGAGAACTGGAGGGAAATGTTTACTTGAAGCTACTATTTAGTGCAGGGAGGATTAGGGAAAATGTGTGATGTTAGCTAGAATAATGTTTTTGTTTGAATAAAGAACGAATAAGATGATGTTGTTTGTAATATGCAACCCAAAATCAAAAAAAGTTAGACCTTAATTTACAATACTGCTTTAGACGCAAAAATGTGGGTTTCTACATTGAAACTGATCTGATGTAACCAAAGAAAGCAATACTCAACTATAAAGAATAGAATAATACGTAGGCTATAAGAAATCTAAGCCTTTGTGGGTTTTGAGATATGCTGGAATTTACTGCTCATGGAATGTTTCTTCCTTAATGCTTAAATTCAGAGCAAAATGGAGTAAACTATATTTTAGGTCAGTAGTAGTGTATTTAAATTCAGGCACTTGACACTTCCTCAGTTTTTAACATGTTCGTTTTTGTCCAAACCAAAACCTCTGAGGTCTGTGTAAGGAAGTCTTGGTGGAGAACTTCTCCACTCAGTTTAAATTTTTGACTCTCTGCCTCCTCATAAATTTGATTGAAGTCCTTTGCTGCCATGTATTATGTTTCTTTTTATCTGTTTCCAATGTGTCTAAAGTGTTACGTAGGGAAGACCTCATCTGATTGGCAAGCGTATGCATAGTACTTTAAAGAAAAAAAACGACTCATTTAAATTTGTATTTATTGTTTCATTACAATACAGTCATTGTAATGTTCATTTTGTTTAACTTTCAACATAACTGAAGAATTTCAAATTTGGACAGTAAACCCTATACTATAGGCAGAGCGAGTCTGCAGAGCAAACTGCTATTGTCTGTGATCTCAAGAGGTTAATAAAACACCTAGAAACTGTCTTTAAAGTCAGAACTGCATAACAATTAAGCGGTGTGACCTGAATAACAGATGTACAGAATAACAGATGTGATAGTATAAGGCATGACTCAGGAAAATATCTATGCTTTTTATCTGCTCTACTGTCTAAAATAAAAATGCATGAAATGTTGTAAGAAATGTAGAGGGCTTTCTTGTTTTGGATAATTCTAGTGTTGTGTAAAAGAATTAAAAAAAAACTTTATCTGTGAATCTAATAACAGCACTTTTTGAAAGGTTCTTAAGAAAATGGTCCTGGTAAGCTGAATTGTTGACAGTACTGAGATAAATAGAAACACATTTTGTCATATTTTATGAAAATGCAACATTAGAGCAACATATATGGGATTTAGTCAGTGCTCCTGTAAAGGACTAATCTTTGGAAATCTTTGAAATAAAAAATGGAAGGAGGGCTTAGTTTAAGCTCACACCTAAAAAAAACAAAAACCTGAAGAACGATACAATATAATGGCTGCACTTTTCTCCTATACATATCCTTAAAGCCACAGGATATTGTATCAGAAAGAAATGACTGCATTATAATATGGAATGCATTAAATTTATTGGGTTGATTAAAATAAATTAAAAGCCAGTTTAGCATTCATTACTTATTTATTTGATGGATTTGTTTTTTTCCTTGTCGGACATTTCAACATTCTTTGATCTTTGGGTTGTACTTCTGAACAGAAGTCAAGTTTTGTTTGCATGCTTTTAATGATGACATGAATTGGGTATAAACAGAGAAACAAGTCAAAATGAATACTTTCTCTCTTTTGTTTGCAAAAATTGTTTATGAAAATATTTACTATAGACATTAAATTAAATGAATTAAAACAATTTTATGCCAAAATTGAAAGTATTATTTTGACCATAACATATGATTGTTAAAAAAGCAAAGCAAAACAGAGAACAATACAACATGCTAGAACATGGAGAGGGTTAGTTGAGTCTGCAGTGAGGGGAACATAGCCATAGCATAGCTGCCATTAACCATCATATTACTACACTCTGTGTTAGTGGAGCAAAGTAAGAAACACAATTCATTCAAATTATTCTATCATTTTACGCTAACAGCAGTTAATAAAAATTCAGTTACAGAATGAATTTAGAATATTGCTTTATTACAAATAACTGAAAACAGTTTAATATCATATAAAGCCCTAATATGATCTTCATGCTCGATGTTTTAAGTTATAACTAAATAAAAACTTACATTTCTTATCACTCTTCTCACTCTGAAAAGAAAGGATTAAACAGTCATCGTTATGACCCAGTTATTCTCATTGGTACTTTAAAATATGAAGAGAAAATCTTACTAACCTCGTCTTCCCCGTCTTGGTCTGAATCAGGGTCCTGAAGAAAAGAAAGAATAAACATTACTGCCATCTTTAAGATTTGAACATAAACATTCCTGTAGAAATCACAATTAATTAGAATAGTTCAAATTCTTATATCAAAACTACCTTTGAGTAGGTAGGAAGAGTGATGTTAAGGTTGCAGATAGCATTGTGATGAAGGCTTCGGTATGTGCGGGGTTCCTTGGTGAAGGACAAGCGACCACAGGGCTCCTGGGCAGTATCACGAATCTGTTCATAGAAGAAATGGTTGTATGTAGGACATATTCAAATACATCTTAAAGGACACTTCAGAAATGTGTATTTGTTATATGGAAATACTTTAATAAAGAGTGCCAGTCTGTTCTCTTTAAAGGCAAAGAAACTGAACACATGGTGCTGTCCACTCTTGGTAAGAGGAACAAGGTTTCCGAAGCAGTCAGCATATATGGGCTTTCCCTCCAGCACCTGTGGGTGGATAATACATGCATATGATACAAAACCATAATTGTTTCATTCAGGGACATAACCACCTTTTTAGTACTACTTTCATGAAAAAAAAATGCTTCTCTGCATTTATTTACACATAAAATATTAAATAATTATACGTTTCACACCTTTAAATGAGTTTCACCCCTTTTTCAGACATAAGCACAGAATGTTTGTGTGTTAAAATTGAAATTTAATGGAATGTCTGAAATAAAGTCATTCATTTTTTTCATCAATAGAATTTTCTGCTGAAGGTTAATTATAAGAATAAAAATGCTCTTCCCTTCTGGAATCTTTTTATCCTAAGCTTTTCCAATCGTACCTCAACATCTCGGCTACGCGCTACTTCAGTGAAGTTTTCCTGCTGCTCCAAGGTTTTGTCCATCTTGTCATCTGTCATGCAGAAACAACGCAACCGTGCCTCTATTGGATCCAGCGTTTTGGCAAAGATGACAAACTTAGCCATGTAGGGTACACAGATGAGTTCTCTGTAGAGCTGTGTTCCAAAATTAACAGACTCCTGGATCTGTCTGCAGTCTATGAGCCAGAACCTGTGAATTTCATTGACAAGCAACTGGTAACCAGCAGACTAATGAGAAAAGAACATTGAGTTTAAAACACAGCTGCAGCATTCACCATCTGCCCTACAAACGCCACTTTACCTTGCTGACACATTGGTAGTGAAGGAAACACATTGGTTAACAAAAGTGAGTGGTGTGGAGCCAGTGATATCCTCCCATTGGGCAGGTGTGGTTCCACCTAAAACACAGAATAATGCCTTGTTAAAGAACTGGCAGTACAATAAATTGCATTACAGCAATCAAACCTGACATGAAAATGTGTTGAAAATAATCTCATGTTTTCAAATTACAATGTCATCTCAACAAATGTTAATAAAAAAAATCACCAAATGTTTAGTGAACTTCAAATGGGATCCTATGAATAACTGATACTGATTATCTAGAAATGTATTGACCTGAATGGATAAAAGCACAGACTGTTTTACTATCCTTTTAACATTAGCAGTTCATTTATCTCAAAAATTTATTTGAACTATTAATTTAACTTTGTTTTGTTTTTTATCAAGTAGTATAGGTGTGATCATTTCACAAAATGTATTTGCCATATTACCTGTTATACTGCAAAGCAAACGTAAAGTGGGAGTCTCTCCACTAAACACAGCATTAGGTCCATCAGTGTTGGAGGTTTTTGGGATGGGGATAGTCATGGTGATCGGTTTATGGAACTTCCTCCTTCTCGGCTCTAATGTAACAATTGGGCTAAAAGTGGCTTTGTTGCCAAGAATCTTTTTCACAAGCTCTTCATCAATTGGTTGAGCCTAGAAAGAGAGAAACGTTTGTTATTAGGGTCCTGGAAACCTAAACTTACCGATCATTTTTGAAAATGATCCAAACACCATAATAATCAAAAGTGGAGGTGCAGCCAGAAATCGTCTATTGATTAGAATGGGAAAAATTTCAGGTTTATCTGGACCTGAACAATGACCAGTTATTTTAAAAAGTGTATCCAATTCCTTAGCACCACCAGATTGGACTAAAAACTAAATTATTTTATGAATATAAAAAAACGCACCTGCTTATGTTTACCAAAGCCAACTATTCTAACCTTAGTAAAGGCTGCTATAAGTCTAAAGATAAATAAATTCATTAACTGTAAAATTCTAAACAAAATGTATTATATGTATTATTGGTATTATCTAATGTATTATTAGCCATATCTAAAAACTCTCAAATGATTTCTTTTTCACATGTATATACCTGTAGCCCAACTCTGATCTTCTTGGTGAGGGCGCCTTCGGGGAAGACCGCCTGGACCTGGGGTACTAGAGTACTACTGAGCACGCCACCGTCTGGACCAATCAGATGGCTATCCTGCTTAATCCTGGATACCACAGCGAAATACTGAGGAAAGTCTCTGGTGATAATTCGACAAATTCTCTTCTTTTCGAGCTCTTCAGGAGAATCAAGCTCTGGAAAATGTGACAAATACTTTCCATTACTATTTACTCTCTTTAATCTATGAATTGTTTAATCATATAATATATATTGAAATCAACATAGCAGCCGTTATCATGATTTGACGCTAAATTCTAGCCTTTTTTAAAATTAATCTTCATCAAATCTTTCCTTTTACCAGCTGTGAGATCTTGTTTTTCTATCAATGTCCCTTACTTTCATCCATGCCATTAAGAATCTGGTTCAGCTCCTCCTCAGTGAAGTCACAGTGATGTTCTTTCCAGTTTTCTCCTGTTTCACTCCGCAAAATCACAAGTTCCCTTTCAGTACCCCGTAGTGCGGCAAAATGGGGAATTTCTACAATCACAGGCCTGGTATGGATTTAAGAGGTAAAACAAAAGAGCACAAGAAGAATTAGAAATAACAGAAGCCTCCCAGGGCTTATTTTAAATTTAGAAAGTTATACAATTTATGAAAAATCAAATACAAAAAAAATAAATGTTATAATCTTGAGGATTTCATGCTAAATGTAAAAAACAACAACATCATGAAATAATGAAAAACAATGATTATAAACAGCATTAGCTATGTGAGATTGGCAGAACGCAACATAAAAAACAAGGGGGTAACTGAGCAACTGAGGATAGCAGGTCAGGAGTTCTCGCATCACAACATTTTTCTTTCAGGTAAAAGCAAAAACAAAATAAATCCAACTGAAAAGGTATAAAACTTCAAAAATGCTGTTAAAAAAAACAAAACAAAACTTCATCCTAAAGTAATCGTAGTGGCAAAAAAAAAAAAAGAGTGTCTATATGACCCAGATTCCAAGATGGCAGGGTTCCCCCCTTCCAATGATCCTACCCGAGGAACTTTGTTCCTGGAGGACCCAGCTGCAGGATGCGACTGACCAGGCTCTCGCCCTCATTCAGAGGGGGCGGAGCGGTGGGAAGGTGGAGCTTACTGATTCCGTACGCAGCACAGAGGAAGGAGTGAAGAAGAAAAATTTGAACACAAAGCTCCACTGAGAGTACACAAAGTAAGACACATGTACTTGCAGGGGGGGAAAATCTACTTTAAATTGTATTTATTAACATAAGAGATTTGTTTTATTAGGTCTCGTAATTTTTACTATTTCATTTCATAAGCTAAGCAATTCTATCACAGGCTTCTTAATGTGCGTTAAAATATATATATATAGATGAATCTAACCAATAACAATTCAATTAATATTTTCTGTCAGTATCATTCAAACTGAGGTATATTTAGTAAAAAATAATAATAATAATAATAATTTAACACAAATTTCTACAAAGGAAAAGTGACGGATTCATGAATAAAGGTTCTGTTTTTATTTATAGTTTATCCAGTCTCTCTCTCTCTCTCTCTAGTGGGTTTGAGTTAAAAAACTATTTTTTTGCTTGTTTTAGGTTTAAGGTTGGGAGAAAAGTGAAAGGAACTTTAAGTTTCATAGGGTACACTGCACGTACATCTTGTGAAATAAGCCATAAGACAGAGCCATAGATAGAACAGGAAAAAAGTATCAACTGTGTTGAAAAAAAATGTTTACTTTTTGGAACTACTTGCTTTTCTGTTTTGTGGTTCTGCCACCTCATTCCTTCTTTCAGCTTGGAGGTTTGTGGCTTTAGGTCTGCATAGGGGGGTAACCCTCTGCTATGACTAGCTTTGGTATCTCTGAGGCTCCTTATTTTCTATCTGAGGTGCTTGAACCATTTGAGGTGCTTGATATATAGCATGTTAAGGATGTGAAGGAAGACCATTTCATTTTACTGTACAAAACATACAAAATACACAAATATTACAAAGCAAACACAAAAACGTTTTTTGTCAGGGCTGGAATATTTATCAGGCTTTCTGACTGGATTGTGCAAAAACCTCTGGCTGTTTCTTTTTCTGTCTTCTGATCCAGAACTCAGCTGCATTGCTAGTCAACAGCCTCCAGGAAGGAGACGTCACAAGGTGCCTGACGTCAGTGGACTTTAATGAGCTAGCGGTATAAAATAATACTAGATCTACTGCTTCTGATTAATGCAGGGAAAACCAAAGAACTAGTGGTGGACCTTCGCAGAAGCAGATCCACCCCACTGACACTGGTGAACATCCAGGGAACGGACATTAAGATAGTGGACTCTTATAAGTCCCTAGGTGTTCACCTGAATAACAAACTGGACTCACAACACATAGGAAAGGTCAGAGCAGACTCTTCCTGCTAAAGAGACACATCTTTTTGAGTGCAGGGGGCGCTCTTGAAGACCTTCTATGACTCTGGTGTGGCATCAGCCATGTTCTGTGGAGCTGTCTGTTGGAGCAGCGGCTTATCTGTAGCTGAAAGAAAGCAGCTGGATAAGCTGATCAGGAAGGCCAGCTCTGTGATTGGATGCCCTCTGGACTCAGTGCAGGAGATGGAAAACAAAAGGATCCTAACTAAATTAACATCTTGGTTGGATAATCACATCACATGCATGAAGCTGTTGCAGAAATTTAGAGGTCCTTCAGTGACAGACTGTTGCAGCCTAAATGCACCAGCGAGCGTTATCACAGATCCTTCCTCCCAGCAGCTGTAAGACTCTGTAACCACCACTGTTCCCAACAACCTCAATAAGATGTTACATTCATGCTGAGTTTGCACAGTTACTATCATTGTCAGTTGAATAACATGCTGCTGTAATTTTGCACATCTCTGATGTTGCTGCTTTTTAAAAATATACATTACTGTAAAAATGTCCATAGCTGTAAATCGGTTATTTACTTTCCAGGTGCTGTTTTCATATTGTTAAAACACTTAACAATACTGTATTTTGTTGTTTATCTTTTCACTCTTCACTAGTATGTTATTCTTATACATTTTTCTATGTTCCACATTTGTGTGACCATTATTTCTATAATCTATTTTTCAGCTGTAGAACTTCCCCATTGTGGGACAATAAAAGGGATTTTCTATTCTATTCCTTTCTACATACCTTAAAAAAAAGACATTTATTACCCAGTTTTCCAGCCCTGCTCTTTACACACAGGAAACAACCTTATTGTTTATTTATCATAGTGGATAAAAATCCATCCATGTCTTTGAGGGGTTTCTCATTCAAGAGTTAAGTTAAATTACTTACTTTATGGTAAATTAAAATAAACAAAATTTTATTGATTATTATCAACATTATTTCTGTTTTGAATATAGCAGTTGCTCTTGTTTTCAACTCTCACTTGTGAAAAAGAAATTAAGGACTCGAGACACTATAAACATTGTATAGATGGTTAATTGATTGAAAAGGTTTCTCAATATCATATTGAGACCTTTTAAATTTTCAAGGTATTTGATGAAAAAAAATTGAGTGTATTAGAAAAGCCAGATTTTAGAGTTTGTGTTCATTATACTTAAACATTGACCTACCCGAGGAACTGAGCTCCGGTTGGTCCAACCTCTATGATTCGACCAGCAAGCCCCTCGCCCTCCACCATGGGGGGCATTGAAGCCAAGCGATGTCTCTTAACCAGCCTGCAAGTCACACGTGTAGGTGCCGAACACTTCCTTGGCGGCACGATGATCCGTAGGCCGTTGTGACGGCACCCCCGCATGGCTCCGCCCCTTGCATCAACCATAAAGCTTACCAGGAAGCTAAAGAGAGGGCCCAGAAAAAAGGGTTGGCAGGGTTTAAATACATCTCCACACAGAGAAATTGGATGGAAGACAAAAATAGGTGGAGACATTTACAGCAATTAAAAAAAGGATTTTAAAATCAGATTTCCAAATTTACATACACTGTATTGAAGAAATATGACCATGATTTTATGCTATCATCGGACTTTACCTTTTACTGCTTTAGGTCAGCTAGGTTTACCCTACACAAATTAGAAGTTTTCATAAATTTCCTATGAATGTGTCAAAATTGCCTTTGGCTTTTGGAAATTCTTAAGGAGGCTTAACATTGTAGCTATATGGAATCTCAGCCCATTCATCTTGACACAACTGCTCTGTCAAGTTTTGGTGGGCTTGACTCTGCACAACTTTCTTTCTAGCCAAACATCTTCAATGGGAAAGAAATAAGGAATTGGTGATAGTTCCTCCAAAACATGAACGCAGTTGTCCAAAAGTCACTTTTTTTTTTTTTTCAAATGTGCTGTATAATTAGGATAATTTTAGTCAAGAAGACCGAGAGCTGTGTTAGTAAAAAGAAAACCCCACATAGATGTCATAATCTCACGACTGTATTTTACCTAAAATTGTGCTTTAAAGTTTGCATCCTCATTTTTCTCCAGATACAATGATAGATTTTTGGGCCAAAAAACTTTCATTTACGTGATGAGACTACTTACTTTGCATTTTATTATGCTTTTTTAGAAATGCCTTTTACTTCTTTAAGTGGCTTTTCAGGTCTGAACATAACAGTAGTTGTTTCACTACAGATGATGATCTTAACAGCTTAAACTGGTATCCTTGTTAATTGCTTCAACAAAGTCCCCTAAACAAGAATAGTGTCATCTTGAAATATTTTTAGAGATGGGTGAGAAGTTAACTGACATTTTGTGAGCTGATCAGAAATGTACAAAGAATTGCCTTTATCTTCTGGGCTATCTCAAACCTGGATGTGGCATAATCTTGGTGTATACCAGGAATCTTTCATTCTAATTCTCAAGGTCCATATCCTGGATCTGACTATGAGAAAAATGGTCATTTTGGTACTGCTAACTGAATCAACACAGAAAGAGGCTGATTTGTTGTCCGATGATGAAAGAAATCAGGTTATAAAGGTCTTTAATACAATGTATATAAACAGTAGAATCTGTTCATTTATAAAACAGCAAACAAACATTTGCCTAAAGTAACTGACTTTGAATGTTCTATGTTAATACTGGAAAAAAATGGATTACTGCACATTCATGAGAACCTTGCAAGAAATACAGCAGAAATATACTTTTTTTGTAAATAATTATATTATAAGTATTTCCTTTTGACAATATATCCATAGATTGCAAACTATAATATTTCTAGAGGATAAAAAGGCAACAGTTTAGAGCTACTTTTTTTAATTTCTAAAACCAGTTAATATAAAGTCATGCATTGGCAAACCATGCAGAGAAATAGGATGGAGGTAAAATGTCATTAAAGAGGACTGAGGTAATTGGATACAAGCACAAAGGAGCTTCACCTGCTGTTGTCATGGTCTAGGCATGGAGAGGAACGGCTAGAAGCAGAACACAGCAGTGACACATACAGACACGCAGTCACAGACATAACCAAGAGAAGACAATGGAAAGAAGCAACAAGAGAAGAAGAGAATAAAGAATGAGTAAAAGTGGAAACAAACCCAACCAGACATAACAGTACACTCAAGCATACATGGAGAAAAAACAGAAAACGCACACCAAAAAAAGAAAAACAACAAAAGAAAAACTGCTGGCTTATTCCATTAATCCAAATGCTGGGTTCATGTTGTGGTAATATAGGTTAGGCCATTTTGATAAAAGGCTTGGTAACTTGTAACTGAATTTGATCAGAAGAGACTAAAATGCGCTTCATTCTTCTTCTGAACTTATCAAAAACTTGGTCAGACTGAAACCTCCTTGTCACCATAAAATACACAAATGTTAAAAAGATGCAATAATTTTAGATGTCACTGAATTTGATTTATGACTAGTTCCCATTAGACAACACATTAGCTTCTGCAACCTATGTTCAACATCCTCTTTTTACCAGGTTTTCCTAAAATCTGTTCAAAGCACTACGATTAGTCTAAGCTGCGTCGATGTAGTGCTTCCATTTGGCAGGTAATACAAGATTTCTTGAGGTGATCAGTGATACTTATACAGCACAATATATGTTGCTTTTTTCAGGAATTTATCATTACACAGTGATCTTGTCATTTCTAATGAGTTACACTAAAAATCAAAAAACTTTTAACACTGTTTAGTATTCCAGATTATTTCTGTAATTACTGAAGTTCACATTTTGTTTTGAAATCTAAAAGGCTGAGTCTCAACCCATGATCCAACTTAACTATGTTAGAGCAACCCAGGGTTTGGATTAGTACCTGATTGGACACAGAAATGCTTTATAATATAACCTTAATGAACATTAACCCGGCAGTTTTCAAAGTGAAGGAAACATAGTTGTGAAGGGCTGTAAAAATATAAAAAGAAAAAAGTGATTGTGACAGGGCTTCTTCACATCTAGTTATTAAATAATGTTGCTAATATGGGGTTAACATTTAAAGATACATATTTTGTAGCATTGCAAAAGCTACCCCAAGGTTCTAATCAAGTATGGCTGGTGGTCAAGAAAACTGCTATTTGCCTTATATTACACATTTCTTCATTCAAAAATAAAATTCAAGTTTCAGTTTAAAATGACTAAAAGTATGAAAAAACTGTGCTTAATTAGGAGTCTATATTGTTTATATTGCCACCAAACACAGTGTGGATGATGGTTAAAGGGGATTTAACATATAAAGAAACCTATTGGATATGCTATTAAAATAACTATTTAATTCAAGTTTAACATTTAATTTTTACGCTTCATCAGACAGTGTCTGAAAACGTTGCTTCCAAATCTAATTACTATTCAGTCATCAGCAGATATGTCTTGAAACAAAATCCCATTTACTGTGAAGCTGCTGAAGGCCTGATTAATCTGATTGTTTTGAGGAAAATATAGTAACATAATCACATGTTCGTACTACAAGCAAGGCAACAGATGCTCACAAACATGAAGCAAACATTTGCAACTGCATGTATACATGTAACAAGTACTCTATTACTAAATTACATCTAAAAGTCTTGTTTCTGGATGCGCTATGGCCCAACATAATTTATTTATTCCATTTTCTAAAGATGGCAATGCTGTTCAAATTTGACTGGGTTACATGTAGTAATAATAATCCTATTTAACATGCATTTCAGTGGTTTAAATCCTTTCATTAAGTAATTTTTTTCCTGAGGTTTCCCACTGGGATAGTATTTGCAACATGTTCTTTAAAACCTTTTCCCAAATTGACAAAATATGCTCTGTGCCATCGGCTAGAAATTTCTTTGATAAATGGGGTCAAAATTATTATTAGACCTATATCTTATAACATTTTACTTATATTCATATTTTATTAAACTACATCAAAACATTGAATATAAGGCAGTGTGTTCATATACCCAGAGTGCAGCAGACTAGGAGGCAGCATGACGTTATCGAGGTGTTCAGCACCCCAGCTCAGTCGGAAAGATTCCTTGTCATGCTCTCTAGACAATGCTGATACCTAAAAGAAAAACATACATGGTCAACTGGACTGGGAAAAAAAAACAACTCTGGGAAAGCTTTAAACGACGTTGCTACCTATTCCCTCACCTGGTGGCTCTTCAGTATGTCTTCAATGAGAACTTCATCTCTCTGATGAAAGCTTTGGTGAATAGGAGTGTGCTGGGACCTTTAATAAAAAGCCACAACTTCAGACAACCTAAACATTTTAATTTAAATGACAGTAGGCTTAATAGGAAAACAGTTGTGGGAGGTACAATTGACACATTACTCCATGCATTTGTTCAAACTGCAGTGTTTCCTCTATTTGAAGAGCTTCTCTATCACTTGGAGTGTGATTTCCTCCTGACATGCACAATCATGGCAGCAATAGAAAAGATGACACAGCCACCTACAAAACGAGCTATAAAGTATTGTGAGGACAGCAGCACTCACGTTCCTGTAAATAACAGCCATAACTGTTCAAGTCTGTATAGATCCAGATCTAGATAATAGCCTAAGCACTTTAGTCCCATCAATGACAGCATTCCCAGGTGAAAAGGTGCATGGTGCATGCATGTTTTTTTAATCACCTGTCCAAGGAATAGTTCATGTAGCTGAAGCTGTCCAGAGAATCGTCCTGCAGTTTCCATATGTCCTCTGCTCTCAGGTATTCCCCTCCATCCCCCGTCATTGTATCCTCACCTGGAAGCATCATATGCTAGCTTAGAGAAGCATTTTGTCTCCTATTCTTTTTATGTGTACATGGATATTTATTAAAGCATCTGCAACGCTGTGGGATAAGATGTGTTGCTGGTAAGCCCAGAAATATCAGCTCCTCTATGCAGATGATTTGATTATTTCTAGTCCTTTATGTTAGGAATCCAGTTTGTGTGGGTTGTTTGTGTGTTTTTCTCCCTCCACCACCAGGTGGTGCCCTGTTCCTCGTTGGGCCTCCCTGCACACCTGCGGCTCGTTGGATCATTACTGGAGGAGTATTTGAGCAGTGGGCTGTCACTACCTCTACGCCAGAGTGTTTGCCAGTTTTGGGTACTCTTTTATTCTAGAATATGGAACTGTTTTAGCTTTTTTTTTTTTTTCTGACTTGTATTGTTTTATTTGATTTACTCATATTCTATTTGGACATATTTGAGTCTTTAATAAGTAATGAAAATATTGAGCAATTGTTAAAAAAATAAACTTTGATTCAAACAAGTTTCAATCACAGTGAAAACATCCCTCTTACTGTAATCTCCTTAGTATAATTACCTCTGTACTATAGGCTGCTATTAGTGACACAATAGTTGTACTTTACTCTTTTTTAATTGTTTGCTCTGTTTTTTATTATCTAAAAAACATAAACGTATAATCCTACAACAAACAGAGAATCTTTATATCAGTGTCTCATTTATTAAATCTTCTCTTTACAAAAAAGGAGCTATTATATATCAAATGACATCCACAACATCAGTAAAGTATCAAAATTCCATTATACTAAACTGTATATTCTAAATCTAAAATGGGCTGCAAATTAAGCACTGCTTAACTGGTCCGCTAAGACATTCCTCATAAAATCTACAGAGTCTAACTTGTAGCTCACATTTTTTTTAAACCAAATTCAAACTTAGAATAGCAACATTCAGGTAAACTATAACACAGATTACACCAGACTACATCTCTGAGAAACAACTTTGTGGCAACATACTTAATCCTCAAATTACGGCAATATAAATCAACGTTCCTCATCTTCAGAATAAACAAGGATATAGTCAGATTACAAAGAAAGAGTCAGCTGGCGGAACTAACATTTGACAGTGTATTAAACTAAAAAAATGAAGCCTCTCTCAGATGAAATGCTATTATGAGTAAATATTACTCCATCACTACTCAAATAGGAAGAAGAAGAAAAAACTATTCACTACTTCCAATTAGTGTAACTTCTAGGCTCTGGTTTAGCTTAAAACACAAACAAATTGGACACTGAAGCCTTTTTCTTATTCTACAGCGTTGGTAAAGGTTTCATTAATGGCATCCTCATCATATATAACATTTGAGATACAGAGAATAGAAAATCTAATAGAAAATCACTTTATTGTCCAACAATGAGGAAATTGTGGTTTTAAAGCAGCAGCAAAAGGTTATAGCAGAAGTGGTCACACAATGTGGACCTTAGAAAGTGTATAAAAATAACAGAATAAGTGACAGAGTTAAGAAAATAAATAAATAAAATCCTGTACTGTACAGAGTTACAATACTCTGTATCTGTAGAATAAATGATCAATAAACAACTATGGACATTTTTACAGTGATGGATGTCACTACCCGATCTGTCCCAGAAGCACGATCCGTTCTGCGCATGCGCGAACATATATACATCTGGGTGTCCATAAATAATGTAATTATGGTACTAAAACTACTTATTTCTATCCTTAACTCACTAAAGAATAGTAATACAAATCTGCAAAAAAATGTATGACTTTTGTGAGACAAGTTTTATGCTTTTTACATTCTCTTCATTAAACTGCTTCTCTGATGTCTTGACGGGATATGCTCAGAGCGGTCCGGTGAAATATGATTAAACCATGTTTATCTGCATTTTTGTTGTTTCTTACTTTAGATTACGCACTATATGACATAAGGTTAAAAGGAAACACAAACATAAAACTCAAAAACACTAGATTTATGTTTAAATCCAAAGCCTAAAAAGTTAGCTCCCGGAAGTAGCGTAGGATCCCATTTCCGGTGCAGATCGGGCACAAACAAAACAGAAAGGATTTTAAGGCATTTTTTTTCTCAAGAAATTGATTTATTTTCTCAAGGATTAGGTAGTGACAATGGTGCAATATAAAATAAAATAGCAGCAACACCAGAGATGTGCAAAAATGACAGCAGCATGTTATTTAACTGACTTAGACAGAAACTGCAAAAATCACCACGAATGTGAAAAAAAAAGGTTTTTGATAACGTTTCCTGGTATTCAGGGTGCATAACACCTTTAACAGATATGGTTAAAATAGTTGTTATGTCATGTCAGCATTTTGATAAAAGCGCTGTTATTAAAAAAAAGAAAATGACCAGAAAATGTACTTGAATTGAGCATTAGGTTCTATATAACCTGTAGCAAACCCTGATCAGTTGAAAACCACTAGCTTAAAATGCAGCCTGGGATTTATAAAATATATTTTGCATGTTACTGAATGTATTTCTGAGGCTCTTAAGTCCCCACACTCTTCTATTTGAGACCATAAGTTCTGTTCCAAGAAAAAGTTTGGCACAAACTAGATCATGTGTAATTGTTAGAAAACCGTATTGCTTATTCCTGGTTATCTGCCAAATACATATACTGTATCTTTTACTTATCAGCCATCAAAATACTTAAAGGTAATCAAGATGGCACTACCAAAACCTCATGGAAAGATCTAATGACTATAAATTTATGCATGGTACAGTAAGCTGATATAATCAACTCCACAACCCAATGTCACTCTACAGTAAATTCTCATGCAGTTAGTGCTTTGTAATTATGGTCAGAATTGAAATAAGAAAGGTGGTTGATCTTTAAAAGAACTTAAAAAAAAAATTAAACATAAAATGGATAAACACAACCAAACTTAATTAACTTAATCTTTTAATTTTATATTTTTATAGTTATTTTGTGGTTAAATAAGTTACTGCACACCATGCTGACAGAGAAGTACCTTCCAGGGCAACAATCATCTCAGATAATGGTTCATCATCCACTTTCAGAACTATGGGACATACATTTTTTTAGACGCATAAAACTCCATTCTTTATCACTATTTGCCAAATAAAAAAAGAGGGTACATTCTCTACAAAGTTGTTTTATTTGAAGCAACTTTAACTCACCTTCCTCATCTGATACATCTAGGATCTCCGTCATTGTCTCAGGAACGTTGAGTTTGTGTTTCTCTGTCACCGTCTGACATGACACACAGTCGCAGTCACATTAAAGAAGGATAAATCATTCAAAATTTGGAAGCTATGCAGAAAAAGAAATCAAATTAGTCTAAAATCTGAGATTGTATCACAAACCTACCGTTGTGGTGGTGATGATCTCTTCTGTGACGACTTTCAGTGTGTCCACCACAGAGATGTAACCCAGGCGTTTAGCGATGGACAGAGCGGTGTTCCCGTTCTGAAAAATTAACAGACATACAAATAGTATGAAGTTGATCAGTTTGTTGTCTAGATGACAGACGATAAAAAGTGACAACAATATAGTCTTACTACTGTAGTTGTGTTGGGTTTGGCCCCATGTTGCAACAACACATTAATTATGTGTGTGTTCCCTTGTTGAGCTGCCTGGTGGAGTGGAGTGTAACCATTCTGTAAAATAATAATAAATAAAAAGGTGAGATATTTTTGATAAAAGGTTTAATCATCAATATAAAGTAAATATATTTTCGATTTAGCTGAGTTTGTCTTTTTTTAAAGATAAAAAGAAAATTGTACCTTGGTTTTGGCATTGACGCTGGCACCCTGCTGTAGCAGGAAGTTAACCATTTTCAGATTTCCATAATGACATGCCACTATTAGAGGAGTATAGCCAAGCTGAAAGGGGAAGGATAACAGGATAAAATGTTGATTTCCTGACATGACAAAATTTTTATTGAAATTAATTAAAAGGAGAAGGAGTTAGGATTACAACCAGTTTTATTGGGATTTTATGCGATTGAGAAACATAACATACTCATGGTAAAATAAAAGTTTTAATGTTTTAAAATTTCTTTTACTTTTTTTTTTTCAAATTATAGGAATCATTTCTGTTTTACCCCTTCTAAACTCAACTGTACCCAAATATCTTTTAGAAGTCAGTTAAGAGGTATTTGTGCAGCGTTTTAATTCTCCTTAGAAGTCAGAGTAGCATTGTTTAGTACTTTGTTTCTGAGTACATAGAAGAGTTTGTTCATACTTTTGTCTGCTGGTCCAGGTTTGCATCATGTTTGGCCAGAACCTCTGCTGCATTCACCCTCTCCTCCTGGGCTGCTAGATGCAAAGCTGTAAGTCCACTCTGTAGAGCATAAAGTGCATAACTTATGAGGTTAGCAAAAGCAGTTGACACAAATTTTATACAGCATACATAATTTGTCATTACATAAAGTAATTAAAATAAACAAATGTGTTTTTTTTTGTGTAAGACCTTGGTTGCAGTGTTGACATGAGCTCCTTTGCGCAGGAGTAGGCTGACCATCTCAGCGTGTCCTTCCTGGGCTGCCAAGTGCAGGGGACTGACTCCCTGTTTGGTCAGAACATTGGTCTCCGCTCCGTACTGCAGCAGTGCTACTGCGATGTTGGTCTGGTTTTTTTTGGCTGCGATGTGAAGTGGGGTGTAGCCATTCTAGACAAGACAGGGGATTAATAGTTAAATGTTGAAACTTATTTTTTTTTCCAAAACAAAGCAACCAAATCCCTGATAGATTGGGGCAGGGTGTTGGTGAGAAAACAAACTGCTGAAGAGCATTTACGCTCCCTCATACACAACATGGAGCCTTTTTGAGAAACTTTGACCAACCTTTGCAGTGGAATATGGTGAAGCTCCTTTATCCAGCAGCAGCAGAGCCACCTCCTGGTTGTCATAATGAGCTGCTACATGTAATGGAGTCAGGCCATTCTGTGAAAGAATGCATTCATGTAAATCTACCTTTATCATTTTATTACCTAAATTCATGTCAATTATCAGTAGAGTCATACTTCTTTCTATTGTTTTAAACATTCAAATACATTTTAAATCATCTGACACATTGTTAGCCTGAAATGAACTGAAAGATCAGAGAAAATACAGCTATATATCTTCTGCTCACCTTGCCAGCGTCGTCAGGAAGTGCCTTCCGTTGAAGGAGAAGTTTAGCTACATCAAGGCTTCCATATTTTGCTGCTACATGTAAGGGTGTGAATCCCTTCTGCAGAATTTGAAATGGAAAAAAAAAAATATATATATTTCTTTGTTTTCAGGCAGTTACCTCTCAGTCTATAGGCATCATTGTCCTTCCTCCAGCTCACCTTAGTGGCCAGTGAGTGTGAGGCCCCGGCCTCCAGAAGCACAGCCGCCGTCTCTACCTGACCCTCCCTGGCTGAAATGTGTAGAGGAGTGTAACCATTGGTGGTGGCAGCGTCTGGGTGGGCCATGTGCTGCAGCAGAAGCTGAACAATATCGGTTTCACCCAAACGAGAAGCAATGTGGAGAGGTGTCTGGTCCTCCTGTTGATTGGTGTAGGCAAAAAGAACATATTTTAGCCAAGAAAGAATTTGTTTAAAGAAAAGCTTTTTTTAGGTTTTCAAAATGGAAAACATTAGGGCTCAGACAGCAGTTTGAGCACACGGATCGGTAAATATGTTACAATACAGTCTTTTGTTGGGATTTAATTTGATAGACAAGTAAATGTAAAATATAAGAAAAAAAAACACTTTTTGCAAATGATAAGTAAAACAACCCACAGCTAATATAAGGAGAACTGATGGATGTGTGCCCTACAGATCTATCCTTTTAGAAAGAGCAGCAAAGAGAAAGGCATTCAAGAAATCTATCAGAAAATCACATTTAGTTTACAAAAAGCCGTTTAGGGACACAGCAAACTACTGTAGGTATTCTGAACTCCAGCAGGGAACAACAACTTGTTTCAAATCCCCTGAAATGTTCTATTTCATTATATATATATATATATATATATATATATATATATATACGTAATTATATAAAATGTTTGAAACTTAACAAAATGTGGAAGACTTCATGGTTCACTTTCTCTTACAATAACATTATTAGTTTTTTCAGAGGTTAAGTAATGATTTTGAGATGCCTCACCCTGGCCATAGCATCCACCAGAGCTCCATTTCTTAACAAACAGCGGACCACTTCCATCTGACCGGCCCGTGCCGCCATGTGGAGTGCTGTCTCCCCACGCTTATGTACAGCAAAAGCACAACAGTCAGCAAAATTAACACACTAAGCTGAGGAAAAATATGACAACCAAGCTGCAAAAACTACAACTCACAATGTTGCGGATATCAGGAGAGGCTCCATTCTGCAAGAGCAGCAGAACGATGTTGAGGTGGCCCATGAAAGCTGCTACATGGATGGGCGTCAATCCGGACTGGGATAAGGAAAAGTAAAAAGCAAAGGTGAGAGATGTTAGTGGGAAACACGGGGTTGTTCTTATACAAAAATCATACAAAAATGTACTGTACCTCTGTAATGGCCTGGATGGAAGCGCCATATTTAATAAGCAGTTCCATCACCTTCACTCGATTCTTCTTACAAGCTATATGGAGAGGAGTAAATCCATTCTAACGCAAAGGAAATTGATAGATTAATACAATTATTTTATCATTGCTTAAATACAAATCTATAAAATATATATTTTTTTCTTTCTTACCAATGCCCTTGCGTTAGGGTTAGCCTTTTTGTCCAAGAGGAGTTTGGTGACTCTGTAGTGGCCACAGTGAGCAGCAACATGTAGTGCTGTCAGGTAATCCAGTGTGACATCATCAACAGGTGCCTTGTGCTGTAGCAGAAGTTTTACACACTCTATGTGGTCTCCCTGAGCTGACATGTGGAGTGGAGACAGTCCGTTCTGTACAGGGCAAGAATAAATGCAGAACATTTAATAATGCAGCTTTTTTAAAAATTATTGTTTACTTTAAAAAAACAAAGAAAATGAAGCATGAATACACAGTAAAGGCACAGCAGTGTTTTACCTTAGTTCTAGCTAAAATGGGTGCTCCTCTTTCCAGCAGGAGCTCCAAGGCCATATCATGTCCACTCCTGGCAGCACAGTGTAATGGGGTAAGGCCATCCTGTAAGGGAATTAAATAGACATAAATAAATAGTAGAACCAGCTAATCAAAAAAGTAGTAGTCATGTCAAGGAACTACTGAGGTTACAAGTTGACATCATAAAAACCGTTTCATTCAATAAAACCTGTAGCCGCAAAATTAATACAAGCCTCACCCTCGTTTTAGCATCTATCTGAGCTCCTCGATCCAACAGTAAAGCCACCATGTTGGTATTTCCTCTCTTGGAAGCAACATGGAGAGGAGTTATCTCATTCTGACAATGAAGAGAAGACGATAAGATTGTCATTAATACAAGTTATTTATATGTGTGCATAAGATACAGGTACTTAGGTATAGTACAGTATTAAAGCATTACTAGTTAATGTCTTTATTGTTGAAATCTATTGATAGCATAGCGAGCTGTGTAAATACGATAAAACATTCAATAGATACAGCTGTCAATATCAATTAGGTATGATGCAAATCAGCATCATCTGGCATTAGTGGGCATGACTGCTGTTAAACTAAATATTTAGTGTCATGAAGGTAGATAATTTTTTGTGCTTTTGTTGCTTTTGCTGGACAGTTTTAAAACTGTATTACAACATACTGTAGATGTTTGTCCAATTCATTCTGATACATCTCTGAAACATGCTAAGCAAATTAAAATATAAAATCAAACTGTTCTAGAGTTTTACTAGTGTGAGACAAATTGTTTTGGAGAAGGGAATAGAGAATCTACCCGGGCTGTAAAGTCAACGGCAGCTCCTCTGTTTAGCAGCAGTGTGGAGACATTGACGTTACCGTAGTGAGCTGCAATGTGCAGCGGAGTGAAACCGCTCTGTTTACAACAGACAGGTAGAAAGCAGAGAAGAACAGAATTAGATAAATTATCAGAAGTAGACAAACCAAAATCCCTGAGAGCTGAAGCCATATAATAGCAAAGATGCATGCTTTTAAAATACAGAAAAATGCAAAAAGCCAAAATATCTCATGCACTGCTCTCTATAGCAAAACCCTTACAAATATTTCATGCAAAAAAAAAGCAAACAAACAGACATAAAAACTATTGTTTCTGAACTTTTAAAAAGACTATAAGCAAGTTGTAATGAAAAGAAAATACAAAAAAAAAAGTGATTCTGCAGAGACAGACAAATGAATCCTATTAAGCTCCAACAGATCTGCTTAACACACTAAAAGTATGTTTAACTCCTTACCTTCCCATTCTGGTTGACATGGTGCAAATTAATTAAGAAACATAGTTAACTTAAAGATAAACAAAGTGTTTCAGAGAATAAAATCAATAATAACATGCTGAAAAGTACACATGCTGTAGGTTTGTTTCTGATTAAAAAGAGGCATGAACAGTAAAAAGAAGAACCAGTACCAATAGGTATTTGATGAAAAACTATGTAACAAAGAAACGGCTTGTAAAGAATGATCAACTACTACAGAAAAAGAAACCTCTAAAAATTAAACATGATGTAAGCTCCTGGAGTTGAATCAAAGATTCCTCTTGGATCAGGTAAAACAGCGCAAGTTTTTCTTTGTCAGCCATGCAGTGTGTGATCTCCATGCAACTGTATTAAAGGTACAGAAGTGTAACATGCGGGAGTTGTGGATGTCACAACAACTCCCATGAATTTAGGGAAAAGTTTTAGGATAAGCTGAAAGAGATGGTCAGAAGTGACAAAAAAAATCAGAGGAAGAGGTGACGAGTCTGTATACCTCTGTGGTTCTATTGACCATCATCTGGTTAGGAGGCATAGAGAAAGAGGAATGGGGTTTAGGATTGTTAGAGAATGGATCTCTGAATGTCATAAAATGTACAAGGCAAAGACACTGAAAGACAAGGAAGAGTACAAGGAAAGGGGCCAGAGGACTAAAACTGGCATGCTTTTTGTTCATTATTGCTCGCTCCACCCTGCTTCATTCTGTCAGGTAAATATGTCATCATATGTGTTTTATAACCACTCCATTTACCAAAATCAGCATGTTTACTCTCACTAACCTTGGATTGCACATCAGCGTTATGGTCATTCTGGAGCAGGAGAGCAGCAGACTTGGTGTCGTCTTTGCGGGCCGCTATGTGCAAGGCGGGCAGGCGAACCTTACCCTTGGTGTCATGCTCCAGAAGCAGCGAGACCACTGAGTTGTGGCCCTGTTGGAGGGCGATGGCCAGAGGGGTAAAGCCATCCTTCAAGAGCAGTGAATAGAAAAAGGAAAGAAAAACTTGGTTCTATTATTTAAGTAACACTAAATAAAATAAATATTGTAAAAAAAAAAAGAACACATAAAATATATTTTAAGTGCAAACCCACTTCAGTTGCAATGCTTTGGTTTCCCTCATTTTCCAGCAAGTATCGCACCACCTCCAAATGATTTTCTTGGGCTGCCATGTAGAGTGGAGTGAAGCCATTCTGCAAAGACAAAACAAAACCAAGTCAAAACATGCACACACCTATGATACAAGTGTTACACAGATTTAATTAATAATGTTTATGCTTATTAAGTCTCACCTGTGACTGAGCATTCACATCTGCCCCTCTGTTCACCAGCAGTCTAACTACTTCTTTTTGTCCAGCCAGCGAGGCAATATGGAGGGCAGTGTTTCCCTTCTGCAAAGGAGAAAGGAAAGTCAAGCAAGTTTGGATCCTGTATAAATGTTTCAAAAACTGAACTTAATTTAACTTTATCAAAACATCCAGTAGATGCACCATGTTCTATGTTAAAACACCCAGTCATTTTTAGGACATGAATGTTGCAAATAACCCTGTGCTGATATATTGATTCCAGTCCAAGGACACAAACAGCATGGTGACAGATGCCATGTTGACTGTTTAGTGTCTCATAGTGAGCAGATTGCCAAGCAGTGTACTAAATGACACTCAGTCTGATTCACCCAAAGTGAAATATGAACTATAATCTAAGTATGGACTCACTCAACCCTTTTTAAAGTTAGGTAATTGGAGTAACTGCAAAAAGAAGAGGACATCCCCTTTACTTCCTTTGCTTTTACATTCCAAATATGTTTTTAAGCTTACTACATGGTAAACATCAAAAGCTAAATATCAAAAGTTATATGTATATATCTATAGAATAAGCACAGAACAATAGAGTCATTGATAACTTGTTTGTGTACCATTGATAACATTGTGTACCTTGGTCGAAGAGTCGACTGAGGCTCCTCGTTGTAACAGTTCTTCTACTAATTCTTTGTGTCCCTCCTTGGCTGCCAGGTGTAATGCGTTGAGACCATTCTGCAGTATAGACATTAATGTAGGTTTAAACATTGGAACACTGTTATTAGAAAAACAAAACACTGATATAAATTAAATCTTTGGAGAGGTTGTTTGGTTTCTCCAACAACAACCTCTCCACAGACGGATGGTCCAGCACAGAAGAGTGACCTCCTCTGGACAAGACTCTGCAGTACATCTACACCTTGTGGACAGAGGACATTCTTTTGTGGACCAGAATTTTCACATTTTGGACAAAGAAAATAGGTGGTTTGAGAGGGGTGTGAAGGAAGCAATCTATGTTAAGAGAGAAAAACCAACCTTAAACATAGGGGGTGGAGTCAGACTCCAGCTCTCAAAAACCTACAATTCAGCAATTGAGTTGATTCCCTCCAGGTATCATCGCAACCCCTACCCCATTACAGTCGAACAGAGCACCTCACCTTCCCAGCCAGGTGAACAATCCCCTTTAACAACCCCCCTTTCAGAATCATAGAAAGGTTTCAGGTATTAGAGACAAATGGAACCAAACAACCCCTACTCTAAAGGGGCGGACCTGCTCCTCAGGTTCAATTGGCATTTTCTAAGCAAAAACAAGGCTTGTTTTTGGTCCACTCTATAAAGCCTCAAACTCAACTCATCCAGACATTTTGAAGTGAGAGAGCTTCCTGGATGAGGAGCGAAACGTCTTCAAACTTAGAAACGAAAAGTCCAGGGGATTGTTTTTTTGTTGTTTTTTTTTTAAATGACTATGACCTGAATGACTTAGAATCTTCACCAGCAGTGGAGAAGCTGCAAAGTTAGTGAATTATCAATTACAATGGGGAGTTTACAGAGTCAGAGGAAACATATTTGTGAAAAGTCGTTTAAAATCAAACAGTATTTTCTATAGAGGCACAACTAGATTTTAATAAATCTAGTTTAATAAAAATTGAAGCATCTAAACAGTGAGAAAGGCTGAAATTTTGGAGCAATTAGGAAATCTTAGAATAATCTACATTATCTACAGGGGACTCATGGACATTTTTGTTTTATTCATGCTAGCTGGGCTTATCCAGTAAATCCCTAAAATAAGACCAAAAAGATGGTTTAAAATATAATCTCCGTATAATTTTGTCTTTGGTTTAAAATAGCAGTTTAACACAGTTTCACAGCAACTCTCTCTCTCTCTCTCACTCATACACAGTCTGATGTCTTGCTATTGTAAATAGGTAATGGTCACTTACATGAGGAATCCCTGAAAGAAAAAACATTGAAAATTTTTATACTTTTTAAAACAAAATAAATAAAAAAAGAAAAGAATTCAGGACTGGCCTATTTTAGTTTCTGCAGTTCAAAGCACACACACACAAAAAAACCGAAAATATTTCCCAAAACTCCTAAGGGGAGGTTTTCCTTTAAAAGCCGACTTATTTTTAGTTTTGTCCTTCTTTCAGAAATAGCAAAATGAATCTGCAGTTTTGGAATTCTGGATTCGATCTGTCCTACATTTGTACATACATGGGAAATTTTTTAAAGGTATAAAATCATTTCTCTATTCTTTGACAGAAATTAGTTTTACAAAATGAGGTAAACTAAGTGTTACAATATAAAACAGAAATAAACTGTATCATGACGTGCATGGCTGTAAGTCTTCAATTCCTCAAAATCTATCTTAAATCTCTAATAGAAATAACACCCAACAACATAAGACATACAGAGGTATTGTTTTACCCTCTAGTGAACCAAACTATTTACTAGTCTAAAAAATGTTTTGGTCATGATTAATCCTGTGGGAAGTTATAATAACATACAATCTCTTTCCTGATGGGAAAATCTACATTTTACATCAAACAGTCCATTTGAAGCAGCAAAGTAAGTAACTATTGAAGTAACTACTTCAATACTTATTAATGTGAAGATTTTAGAGATAAAGTATCCGTTCTGTAGAAGAAACACATAAATATATATATTCTCTAACAAATAAAGAGAAGAATGCACCTCATCCTCTTTTTCATCCATTCTCTTTGATGCGTCTTCGGATCTGAGAAAGAATATATAGCCAAATGTTCACGCTTCAGATTCTTTGCTCTTTTAAATCCTCATTCCTCTCAGGCGCAGTTTCCCTTTTGCACCAGAGTGTCTTTTGATCTTCTCTAGTTTAATTTTCCTCCAGTTCTTCTGCATATACTACCCAAACCACTGCAGGCACAGACGTATAGATTACAGAAACAGGAGGAGCTTCTGGAGGTTCTTCGGGTGGATCTGATGTAGCAGAGGAGCCGTTATGTCGCTAAGGGCCTACATCTTGCACAGCATTGGTGTATGCAAATAAACACTGCCAAATAAAAAAATAGACACGTGCCTCACACCAGCTCCCTGACTTGTCAAATGTCAAACAGCCAGCAGGGGTTTAAAGTTTCTGCCCAGTCATAGGGAGCATCTGGGACACACACAGACATAGATAGTGGCCATTTTTAGGGGTAACTAATATATGTCAACCGCTCAACAAGGAAAAATTGGGCAAACATTGAAGGCAAAGGGTTCTTTAAGTGAAAAAATATATAAATTAGAATATGATGTGTACTGATTGATACGGAAACACAAAATTATTTCAAATGTCTTGGCGTAAGATGTTTTTTAAAATTGTATATTGTCTTTGTTCATCCAATTCAAATTATCTAAGAGAATTTAACTGATTCTGTCTTCCATTTACTAATATTAGAGAAGACAGAGAAGTTGTGTCAGTTCTAAAATGGCGGACGATGACACAGCAAAAAAAGAAAAATACTGCAACGTCTTTGTAGTGTTTCAATCACATTTAAACCATTATGTGTTCAGGCAGAAATGGGCAACAGACACACATATGTGTGCACTCTGCCACAGACTGATCTAAAGCCCCTTTTCCTCTCTGCGCTGAGCCATAAGCGAAAGCTTCATTTAGCTAATGGACAGCCTGCGTCACCAGTTCGGACAGAAACCGCTGAACTGTCCAACACAGATTAATATTCATCTGCCTTCTGATCGTTGACCTTTGTTATGATCACACATAAGTGGTCATAGTTAATTGGGGTGGATTTAAGGACTGGAGTGTCACTTGAGGATAAAATTTTGATGGCAAAAATAGGAAATGCAGATTAAAGAGCAATATCACTCACAGAGGATTAACACAGGGCAGATTAAAGGGAGATTCTGGTCATTGTACAGTAAGGACGAGAGAGCCCAAGCAAATAAAGCTGATTCATGCAGATTTTGTTACACACCAATAGTACCTTAGCAATTCTAAGATTATAAAAGTTTGGGAATAATATTACCCCTTTGTTATATATGTAGCCTTCATTCATTCAAGCAGTATGAGAGGTATCTTTGGGCCACTACAGCTCAGGCAGGCTAGAAATAAATCTCTTTCCTTCTCTTTTACTGACTTGGAAGGTCTTGTCTTTGGCACGAGTCACTGGGCTCCAGTGTGGTTGTTGCTTTCTAGGACTGAGTACTTCAATATGTAATAAACTCTTTGCTGGGATTTCAGCTTTGACAAGTTGTGTATTTTACAAATATAAAGACTGAATAAAACTGTTTCTGCAAAAATAGTCCTATTTTGTTATTGATAGCATACAAATAAACTAGGATTAGAGAAAATCCTTTTAACAGCCCTTCTAATAAAGCCTTCAGGGTTCATAGAAATTCATATTGGTCTTTATTATATGACCGTTGTGGCATTGTTTATATCATTATGGCAAAAAGATCTGATAGAATGATTTTCTTTATACGAATACCACAATACTGAATAAAATATAAAAAAATAAGAAAAAGCAAACAAAAAAATGGCATTTAAAAACGAAAATGCTGCTAAAATAATATACTATAGTAATGTTTATTATTAATATGAGAATGTATGGCCGTGGCTTTCAACAGATATTTACATGTACAGTATTGAATGAGCCTTGAGTCTTGCAATGTCAGTCAGACTAGAATCCTAACTGACGTAAAACAGGAAGAGATTTCTTGTTACGCAATGACAGAAACAAAATTATGTCTTTTTATGCATGCATGCTTTAAGCTCTATATGTCTGTGATTTACTATATTTTCTTGCTTTTATTTTTACACAAATATACATAAAGAGCCATTATTGAAACACCACTGAATGTTAATTAAGAACCAATTCACCTATTGAAGTTCCTAGCTCCAAAATACATGTTTCTTTAAACAAAGTATTTCTTTATTGAGTCTGTTCTCTTTAAATGATCATTTAAATAATCTGGTGTTTGCTAGTTAATTCGTAAGGGAACCTGCACTGCTAATGAGTTGCTCTAAAATGCAAACTCTTGTAATCTTTTGCAAACAATTTTTCCATAAAAAAAAAAAAAAAAGAAAGAAATCTGCACCCTTAAAAAAGTAATGCACTTATAACAACTGACTAAGCTTGGTTTGTGCTCGATGCATGTGCAACGTCTGTTCCTTTAAATTACGGAACTTTTGAACCGACGCCCCTATGCTGGATACACATATGTTCCACATAGAAATGAGACACAATGTCACCAGCTTTTATACTCTGTGCAACTTTTCCCTATTTACCCAACATTCTAGCCAACTCTAGGCATAGCATAGGTATTTTTTAACACTTTTAAAGCCTTCTTGTAGAGTAATCTTTTACCAAAAGTTTTTCAAAATCTGTTATCGTGGTGACATGTATGAGCTAAATAATAAGATGTTTATATTAGTCAACCCACTCCAGCAGAAGTTGCGGCTCGTGTTTTTCCATGGAGAGCTTTTCATTCAGTTACAAATTTTCCTAGGTATATTTCTACCAAAAATATTGGTAGTTCACCAAACTTACACACTGTTTTTAAACAATAGAAGTTTAGATGGAAGGTTTTTCAGTTATAAAACTCAGCTGAATGATAGCTTCTGCCATACACCAGAAAATAATAGAAATATATAAACTATAAAGAGTACGAAGCCCAGAATCAAGCGTAGTTTATTGGACTTTACCTCCCTTGACTCTTGCAGGGGCTCAGAGGAGATTTCAGGGATAATGTCAATCACATTTTTAGTCACCTGACAGCATCTCACATTTGGTCATCTGACCTGAAGAAATACCTTCAAAGGCATGGCTCTCGTGTTACAGGGTCTTGTGTTTGTGTGTCTGTATTTGTGTAGCCAGTCTTTCTCCCCGACCCCCAAAACAAAACCATGGTCCCCATGGTAACAAGCAGCACAGCAATGGGTGGGCATCTGTGCTCCCCGGCTACAAACCAATTACAATCCAGTTTATAAATATTTGCTGTTAATTCATGCCAGGATTCTGAAAGGCCAACAGCAACAACAACGCGGAATGTAACGCAGGAACTCACACACATAATACACATGCTCACGTAGGCCCACTCGATATCCATCTGTGGGTTGTCTTGTGACTGCGGCAAATCACAATGACACAGAGGGGTTGACAGAGCTACAAACAGAAGTACACCCCCCCACCCCACCCCCGGTAATACTCCCCCTTCTAGAAAAGAATGTGACTAAGTGTGGGGGGGGGGGGGGAAGCATCTGTCAGTGGGCCACAGACCCCTAATATGCTGCAGGGATTGTTGGGGGAAATGGGTGTGTTGTTTAGATGTGTTATTATGCAGAATGGCCCCATGTTTGTTTGGGTATTTATTAACAAAAGTAATTATTGTGATGCTTTTGCATGAGTGCAAAAGCTAGCATTAGCAAATAGTTTTTCACTTATGTACCTTTTGTTTTTTGGTGCAGCCGATTAAAAGATACCCAGTACAGGTTTTGGTACAATTGAAAAACTCATTAAATATTTTAAGAATAAATCATATGCTGCTTCAATTAATGTCTAATTCAAACATTTCCAGAGCCCCTGAAAACTAAAACTTATTTTGATGGGAGATTATGCAATAGACCAATAGAAAGTAGTGCATACTTTTAAAGTGGAAGGAATATATCTGAACCATTCTTTTTCAGTTCTATTTATTTATATAATATAGAAATGTGGGCTTTATAAATCGTATGTTTAATATCTGTCTGATGTTATTTTTAAAAGATACTTTTAATCTGACTCATCAGTATCATATGGACACATTTTCTGTTGTTGTTTGACCTGTTCAAATAGTCACAGTATGTAAGCTCTTTTTTTAAAACTTTGAATACCTGGTCAATATTTTGTGCATTTGTTCTAGTTCAGTTACACGTGCAAAATGTTCTTTCAAACTTGGCATTAAAGATTTAGGCCTTTTTAGGTTTGAAGGATGAAATCTCCAATATTTATAGATATGTAACAACTGTTGATCTCTTGTTTTTGAAAAACTGCCTGTGCAGTTCAAGATAAAATTCAGCAGCTTGTAAAATCTTGATTTAGAATATCACTGGCTAATATATTTTCTGACCAACATATGGTAACAAAGTGCTTGGAAAACAATACTTACTTAATGAGATACATTACATATGGCACCTTAGCTAAATTGTAAAACTATGCACCCAGCACAAAGCAAAAGAAACCTACACAAGTGAAACAGTTGTATGATTTGTTTTAAATAGTCTTACCTGGTTGCAAGTGCAGATGTCTACTCCATTTTTGAGGAATTCAAGGACTTTGTCAGTGTTGCCGGCTCGGGCAGCCCGAAGAAAACTGGTGTTACTGTCGGACTGTAGAGAAAGAGACATAAGTAAAGATAATACAAATCATCAAACCAACTTCACTTAAATGTTGTTTAAATAAATGATCATTTTTAAACGAAAAAGAAACAATAAGACATTATCATTACATTACATTACATTACATCATTGAAGAAATTACAGGGATTTAGGGCAGCAGAATGTCAAGAATCCAGTTCAATATTGATGCCAAATGCAATCACCTTTAAGGGTTAACTCACATTTTCTTCCCTGTTCTTCCCACAGCCTTTGTCCTTCTGTGAGCTTTAGCTTTCAGCAATAACCCTTTTAATCAGAGGTGGACCTCCAGGGCACTGAGATCACTTCCAACTGACCAGATCTGGCGCTAAAAGTGTATGATTGCTTGGGACTTTCCATGTTATAGACTATGAAATAAAAGCACCTTGCAGTGGCATTTATGCACATTGATATTGCATTGATGGCTGTGATTTCACATATTATAAATCTATACTTCAGTCCTATTAAAAGAAATTAAAAAGTGTAGTAATTTCATTAGCATACATCTGCATTAAGACATTGCTTCAAATGAGAAGGTGTTGTGCAATTTTGCAGAGGGTTGTAAGATAAGTCTGAGTAGGCCATTCTAAATTTAACTATAAAATCTGTTCAAAGCAGCAAAACACAAATTTACACCATGCATCTCTTCCATTGTCACTCCCACTGTTAAAATTAGAAATTTAAAACTCATTAGCTTAACTTTACAGCAAAAAGAAGCACTAACTGACGCAGACTGCTACTATCAAATATTACTTTCGCTCCTTTGAAAAAGCTGTTATACCTTGTGAACATTTTGTTATTCCGGCATGCTGCAATCACAATCTTGAAAGTAAATATTGAAAATAATATATATATTTTTTATAGATAAATGCGATATACAGTACCCTTTGTACCCTTTTTCAAGTTTATCTATTGAGACCATCCATGTCAGAGCTTTGAAGAAAAGTATTTTTCTATAAATAAAGTCAACTAAGTGATTATACTTTGTGGTCCTTACCCAGCATCACAATTCTGGTTAAAAACATTGACTGAGTTCACTTTAGAAATATTTGACCTCCTTGTTTTAGTTTTTAGGCAAACAATGTAGTATAAGCTTCTGCTGGATGATGTCTAAGGAGATATGAGCTTGTCAATGGACGAGGGAAATAAAACCACACCCCCTGTGTAAGGTCAGAAGTCAAACCTCCTAGATCCGAGGTCATCCCACAAATAAACAGAAACACCACTAGCAATGAGGTCAAAAATAGGCAGAACTCTGTTAGTACAGGACACCAGAAACAAAAGACATTAAAGCGACAGAGATTTTACTATTACTGCTCTTACCTGGAAATCAACATCCTCAGGTTTAGAGTCTGCAGACTGGTAGCATTCAGGTAGTTGGTTTGAATCACTATCACTTCCATCACTCTTTGAGTTTTGATCTGATCCACAGGATTTACAGGATGTGGAATTACCCATAGTAACCATTACATTTCTCACCTATACAGTACATGAAGTCCTAAAGTTGCTGACTGCACATCCTTTGGTAGAATCCTTCTCATTCTGCTTCGAGGGGTAAATGCGGCAAAAACTCACCAAATTCTTTATCCTAACTTTCAGAACCAGTTAAAATCAATAAATAACTCCATAATGACCTTATTATTTTTATAGCATTAGAAATTCCATGTTCCACAACTTAGCTTAGTCTCCGTCCAGCATGCATTCAAGGCCTTGGCCTGCCTGGTCTGCCTCTAAGTCTCTTTTTGCAGGTTAAGCTCTCCAGCTTTTGCTATTTTTAACATTTCAGATCATCAATTCTACCGTGTCCGCAGACCCTTGCAGCTTGAGGCCGGAGTTGGGTGGGTTGGGATGGTATGACAGCTGGGGTTAAGAATCAGAATATGGACTGCATTGCTTGTGGTGTTCCATAATACAACCCAAAGAGACCAGTTCTGATTTTTTGGAATAATTTAGACTTAACTGTTGTCATAACTTCACACAACTGTAAAGTGATGCCTTCAAATGTGTCTGTCCAATTTTCTTTTTTATTTCTGTGTTTTCCAGAGTCTTTCAATGTCTTTCTTTCAGTTATGATCTACATTAGGGTCTTCTCTATTTCAGCCATTTATGGGCTTTTGAAAACCCTCTTCACATTTCAATATAATTTTATCAAAGTAATTAAACATTCCCAGCCTACACTTTTATGGATTAAAGGTCTTGTTCTGGCGTTTGGATTTTTTGGTTTAACTTTGGGATTGTTTATAACAGCACTGTGTAAGTTTTGACCCATTTAAGCTTTATCAAATGATTTTTAGGTCAGCAGTGAGTACCCATGCTCTGTGCTTCCTTCTCAAAAACTCGCCAATGTAACTTGAGAAGAGGGTCGAATATATGGCTGTAAGTGTCATGCGACCTAGACTGCCACTTTCCGTCAGCGTGAGCTATGCTATGCTAGAAGTTATTGTTAGACAACAAAACAGATGTGACACAATAAATAGAAAAGAACAATTGGGCAGGGGAATGAGTTCAGTTAAAAGGTGATGGGGGGACTGGCGGCCTAGTGGTTAGGGCATAAAGCATAGAGCTTGGAATCATGAGGTTCTCAGTTCGAGCCCCACTTCCACAGACTGCCACTCTTTGTCTCTGAGCAAAGACCATTAACCCCCTATTGTTCCCCGAGCGCCCCAGGATGGCAGCCCACTGCTCCCCAAGCGGATGGGTTAAATGCAGATGTACATTTCTAGAATGTGAACTCAATAAAGTTCAGTTACTGTTATCAGCGACATTCCATCAAAATGGTACATTAATTCTTGCAAGAATGAGAAAAGACAAGCATACAGTCAAACCAGTGTCGCGTTACTCATTTTTTTAGCTCCTTCAGAGTGTAGCATAACTATTAGCGTAATATCTGATTGTGATACTTGATACTTGTGATTAGAATTTATTATTATTAAACCAAATTATATTACAGCTATCTTTCTTTATTACGCTACGTTATCATGATTGTGTGTGACCTTTATGATCTTAACCAGTAAAAATATACATAAATTGGGCTTATATGGCCAGTTCAACTGTGAAACTGGAGACTTTACTCAAAATATAATTTACCACCAAATATTTATCCAAGAAGTTCTTCGCAAATGCAATCCTTAACTAGAGATAGAACAGTGTATTCGGCTGATATTTTGGACTGATATTGATATTTGTTTCCTTGCATCAGAATAAGCCATGCAATTCCTGATTCATTAGTACATTCAATAGCCTTGCCTTGAGATCAAGTGAAGCGCTTGTATTGTCACTTCTTTAAACTATCCAGTGTTAATGTTTTGATTGATTTGTGTATAAATGTTTATCTGTGCAGCTTTTGTTATAATTGTGTCATTTCTATAATGTAAATGAAGGAAGAAAACAAAATATTGGCTTCAAAAATTTGACCCCCAAAAAGCAAAAGCAGATATTGGGAACTGGTTATACTGATGTCCAAATAGTATCGGCATCAGCTTTAAAAACCTGTACAGGTAACTTTCTATAATATTGCTGATAAATGTGGTTTAATACATCATGCTGCTCTGTTTAATATGTAATTGTCTTTCTCAGATTATCCTGATCATATTTCTTAGATTAGACAAAAACAAACGAAAGTAGTCATACTCTTGGCTTAATTGCTCATTTCATTCACCTGTCTAATTCTGCTCGGTTTCTTGTTGCTGCTCATCTGATCCACCTGCTCATGGCTCTATTTAAGCTGCCTCATACCAGTCATCAGGGCCATATTATTCTCTTGTACCAGTGAGAGAGGGTGTCCAGCATTATCTTAAAGTTTCTGATTAACTGTTCTGCCTCTCGACCTCTGAGCCTGCCTGCTCATGTTATGATTCTGTTTGCCTGACTAGTCTTCGGAGTCCTGCTGGATTCTGCCCATTAACCTAACCTGGGACCCCTGTTACAGACCTGAATTTCCCTTCGGAAACTCTTCGGACCTCTGATCTTCTAGTTCTTAATCAACGTCCTCCACACCGGCTTTGAGTTCACCCTGTGGATAATCCTGCCTACCTTCGTCTGCTCAGTTCTGATCTCATGTCTGTCCTCCGAGCACACAGCGGAGTTCTACACCAGCGTCTGGCACTCTCTGTGCAGCAACAGCTGCGTCCTGTCAGCTACTTCTTGATAATCATCCTCTGTCAGATTATCATGGCCACTAACCTGTGTTTCCTTACTCCAGAGGTTCCTGCTTTAGAGCTGTTACTGTCCAGCTGTTACTGCAGATCTGCAGCCCTGAATACTGGATCCTCTGTTCTGAGCTTGACAAAAGTATGATATAAACTCGAGTTGTTTATAACTGATCATTTTTTCTTATTACTGGGCTTTAAAGGCCTCGGGGCTTTTGATATTCCTCATTTTGCAATTAGAATTATATGATTCATATTTTGAGCATACATATAATTGTACTTGAAAGTTTACAAAACCTTACATTAAAGACAGAAAAAAACAGCTGTCAGTAAAATAAAATAAAATGGAGAAAAACAATAAACAATTATTTTACTTAATTAAAATCTTGGTTATATTGGTATGAAACCCTGATACTTTATGGCAATCGTATAATTAATAACTCCTACTCACTCATGTCCAGCTAAAATACTCTGCTACATAAACAGCATTTAGACATATTGGAGGGTTTATCTACAGTACTTTCAAACAAACTAAGTCAAATGCTCAGTCAGGAAACAACATCACAGAACTTTAAACTGCAAAGATTTTACCTGACGTTTAGCCTTTTCCCGCTTCCTTTTCCTCCTCTCCCTGGCTTTCTGCAGAGCTCTATATTCTGGATGTTGCTCAAGCTCACGGGCCTTCTTCAGATGGGCAGCTGCATGTGCCATGACTTCACCCCTTTGACTTTTTTGTCACAATCAAAAATGGTTTCACAACAAAAAACGTTTCAAGCTATGTATTAATATACATAAACAAGTCGAGTGGCTCAATAGAAGTCTTTC